CCTCATGATTGGGGTAGTCTGGTGGAAGGGACATGACATACAAGTTTTAAGCGATGATCATAGGTCATAAAACTTTCCATGTAGAATGCATATGGTGACAAGAACAACAGAGAAGATCACACTCTGGGACAGAAAACACTTTGTAACATAACGAGTACAAAACTGACGCAGGTGTAACAGGATATGTGGAAAATCGACACGATCGTACAACTTCTGAGTGGGACTAAGCAATAGAATATTGAAAGCAATCCGGAGAGCATGGAGTTCTAAAATTTGGAGACAAGAATAAAAAGAAGGAGAAGCAGAAATTCAGGCGGTATGCCGCACGTGAGACGTGTACAGTAGGACAGGTGGATTTAAACTCCAATAGGTCCCTTCGAGAGACAGGAGCAGATTGAGAGGGCAAGAGATCTTATCAGAGAGAGCTGACATCTAGATCTTCCACATAAGATGCTTATCAAAGATGACAACTGAGGCAGCAAGGATATTTTCTTCGTGTAGGACCAAAGAGAATACCTTGTGTTGAGGGCAAGACGCCAACAACAACACCACGCTAAAAATCCGTAAACAGCTAATAGAAGAACCTTGTTTGGTGTAGACATGGTCTTACAGTGGGAAATTGGAGCAACATCATTAGTATACTGGTACATGGGACAGTTAACTTAAGCTAAGGCATATCTGCAACATAAAGAATGTACAAGAGAGGGGAGAGAACAGAGCTATGGAGATCATTAGCAAAAATAGCGGCGGAATAAAAGAAAATCCCATTAATGGAAACAACAGCCTACCGAACACAGAGAAAAGAGGAAATAGGATGGATGTAGCTAACGGGGAAATTGAATTGATTGTACCTTGTACAGTAAACTACAATGCCACACAGAGTTAATTGCACAATGAAAACCACATAGCAACACACAGGATGGCTTACTGGTGTTAAAATGGTTGATAACAGTAAGATAATTTCAGAAATTGATCTATAATGGAGAGATGCAGCTTGAGTACTCGATAACAGGCAGTTACCATTAATAAGTCTGTGGAGTCTAGAAACCGGGATACTCGTGAGTTTTACTTAGAACAATAAGACTGATAGGATGGTAAAAATCCATTTCAGTCACAGACTTACCAGGTTTCAGGAAAAGGATAACTGGAAAACTTTTAAGACTCGGGAAAAAATCCAGAAGAAAAGCAAGGATATGAAAGAAACGTAAAGAAGTATACAAGAGATGACAGTGAATGATGACATTTGAATCAGAACTGACAGTGAATGATCACATTGGATGCAGAGATGACAGTGAATGATCGCATTTGAATCAGAAATGACAGTGAATGATCACATTGGATGCAGAGATGACAGTGAATGATCGCATTTGAATCAGAGATGACAGTGAATGATCACATTTTAATCAGGAACAAAATTTAGCCTGTTCTGCAACATGTATCAAATATCTGTTACAGTGACAGGAACATGCAAATAGTCATTGCCCACAACACGAACAGAACTAGGAGTGAGTCAATGGTAGAATGAACAGTGTCCGAAGTGTTACTGTGATAAAAAGGATGATAGCATGAAAGTTGTTTTCATGGAACGAAACAAATATCACATTTTTCTGGTGAATAAGACATAGTATCATCCACCATGGTGGGATATAAGGGAGAGGATAGGATCATCCACCATGGTGGGATATAAGGGAGAGGATAGGATCATCCACCATGGTGGGATATAAGGGAGAGGATAGGATCATCCACCATGATGGGATATAATGGACAGCATAGGATCATCCACCGTGATGGGATATAAGGGAGAGGATAGGATCATCCACCATGATGGGATATAATGGACAGCATAGGATCATCCACCGTGATGGTATATAAGGGAGAGTATTTCCGACATATGAGAAGTTTTAAACTATTCCAGAACAAAGTGGAATTCGATGAATGTCTGAGATTGGAGCAAGCTCGACTCCATCTACGTCTCTTGATGGCTTTAACGTAGTTACGTGCAGTCCACTGGAGATTTCTGTGATGCAACAGTAATTATGAGAGTGTTGGTAGTCGTGCAGTAAAGACGTAAAATGTCCACAGCTATGTGAGGTAAAGGTGACGTATGAAAAAGTTGGTATATAGCGAGAACAGTAGCAAATGAATTTACATAGTTAAGAACAAATGTGAGAGGTGTAGGAACCCTAGTCAGCGGCATTGTAGTAGAGATTTGTCACTCTAGTGGGACAAACAGAGGTAAACCGTATATGGGAATGATCATGAATAGAAATATGGTCATTCCCACTGGAAATAGCATGGTGAGGGATATGAGAGAGATGAAATTAGCAGAAGCAAAAGCAATATCGGGGGAAGACTGTGATGCCTGGTGGTTATGAGAGGGGGGTAACAGTGAACCTGAAAGGCTGCAGGCTCAGGAGAAGTCCTGCTATGGTTGTATTCACATTTTAAGTCATATAAAATTTAACATTCATTGGCAAAATATGATTATAATTATCTATATATGTCATAAGACTTATTGTTAGGCCTATGATATTTTTAACACTACATTCTTCATCTCTTAAGAGTTTCAAAAATTATAAGTGTGTAATAATAGTATTCCAACCGCAGTGTTCGTCATATTCATTGCTGACGAATGTTTGTTTTTTTTTCATTGTTGTTGTTTTGTTGTCTTTAAAGTACCGGAAAAGTCGAAGTATGGAAGAAACGTTTTATGATAGACATTGTAACAACAATATTGCTATAGAAATAAAAAGATGTGAGAGGATGGACAAACCGTTAGCGTGACAATAAATTAGTGTTTCCTTTCAACAGGAAAATCTGGTGTCCAGCTTGTCCAACGAAAGAAGACTTCTTACCCAGAGTGGAATTCTTGTGTCGACGTGCAGTATTCTCGAGGTGAATAAGTTTTCTATTTATCTTTTCGTGATAGGTTAATATTTATGTAATTCACTCCAATAACCGTATCTTATGTATTACAAAATATAATATTAAGATATTAATACTTGAATATTGTTAAAAAAAAACAACAGAAAATAAAAGATTTACAGCAAATATCAGCATTGTGTCTGAAAACGTTCTTTGGGGGCGAGGTTTTCTCTTGTTAAAAGTCTTCAAACATACTGCTGAACCTTTTTTTTGGGGGGGGGATAACCCGTAAAAGAAGTGCAGGCATTAAAGCATATCGATATGCTTGACCAACAGTTGTCATCTCTGTATTTGTACCATCGAGTGGTTTAACAGTTTACATCAATATATATTACTGCTCATTTAGCAATTTTAACAATATATTAACATAAATTTTTTTTAAATAACTCACTGACGCTTAAAGTCTGTCTTACTTTTATTTCTTCAGTGCTTAAATTTTTTAATAGTTTTGTCCTTAATTAATGCCCCCCCAGTGGCACAGCGGTGTGTCTGCGAACTTACAATGCTAGAAACCGGGTTTCGATACTCGTGGTGGGCAGAGCACAGATAGCCCATTGTGTAGCTTTGTGCATAGCTTAAACAAACAAACCTTAATTAATTCGAAGATTGTGTGAAGTGAAAAGTGAGCTTTTTTATTTTATCTTTCTAGGCCTCGCTTCAGAGTAAGTAAGATAGTGTTTAATGAATTTATTTTGTGACTAAACTCTGTTATCTTTATTTTTCGTGTCAATTTGAAATGTAAAATCATTTCCAATCAGACCAAACAAACAACGATAAGAAACTGGTCTATAAATTTGTTTTTAAATTCCAAACACAATCATATCTACCCACGGTGTATAAACAAGCAAACTAAAATTTAATAAGATAATAAATACCTAAAGTGTTTAAAAACACATGGGACGTAACTTTTAAAAAGGAGTCTGCTCTTTTCCAACATTGTCAAAACATAAACATTTTAGAAATTGGAATTCTTAAACTGAACGGCACTTTGTGCTCACGTGAGCTTAACCGCCAGGCCAGAGCCCTCTAGGGTTCAAGAACTACTAACCAAAGGAAAACAGTCAGCCGGTAGCACCCGTCGCCACAAGGTTCTATTCGGCTTTTTGAACCGAGTAACACGATTAATTGACAAAAAAAAAATCTGGAAACTTGTATTTTTCAACTTACACCCCAGAATGTTAACCCTAACCACTAAGTCATCTGTGATCTATTCTTAGTGGTTTAAAAAAACAAAATAAACTAGAGGGGGCACTCAGTAGAGCACATACCGTCATACAGCGTTGAACACATTCGGCTCTAAAAAAAATAAATTAAAATCTGTATGTATGTCCGTTGATAACAACGGTCACGAATAAGATTCTACATATGTCCTTCAAGTTTTATCAAAATCCGATCTTTTTCTTTTTTTTTACTGAGTTACGTAGCAAAAGTAGTGTGAAAAATCGGTCCTTGTGTTAACAGATGGGGATATTTTGGGATTTTCATGACCTTGACCTTCACCCTACAAAAATTAATCATTTCTAAGTTGAGTCATAGTCCAAATGTATACCACCTTTCGTCCAAATCCGGTCAGCTGTTTTCGTGAAATCTTGTTGAGACACACATAACCTCCGCTGCAGAGGTGATAAATAGCTC